TTAGCACATCATAAGCACCAAAGTACTACACACATTCTGAAGTCTGATGGCTGGCTCATTGGCCCAGACCCACCCTTCACTCCTGCAAACTGTTAGTTCAACCTAAATACTGAGTTGGCCATCTGGTACCTTTTGGCACCACCCACTCTGCATGGTCCAGAGCAGAAGACACTCAAATTCTGTTCAACAAGCACTACTGCACATTACACTTGGTGTCAGAAAGGATCCACATAAGATACTGAGGTTAACACAGCAAATATCTCACATAACCAAGAAGAAGGGCTCCAGGGATATCTAGATATAGCATATCAGATTTGGATTCTATGAGCTGCTCTAAACCTGATAATACAAGTAGGAAAGTTTATTTCTACTTCTCTGCTCTTGCAGATCATCAGAACACAAAAGAAAAATGATGACCTATGATTTGATACTGGTTTCTCCTACTAATTTGCTATGTGACCTTAGGCAAGTCAATCTTCTTCTCTGCATCTTATATCCTTCTTTGTAATAGCACAACCTTACATTTGGTGGTCCATTTATAAAATCTCTTCTATGCCTGACATGTAGCAATTTCCCCTCTACTCAAAGGGTGTTTCTTAGATCACAGCATCAGCATCCCCTAGGAGCTTTCTATAAATACAATGCAGACTCAGACCTACAGAATCAAAATCTACACTTTAAGATCTAATGTAATTCTGCATGCTGAAGTTTGAGTAACACTATTCTACAGCTTCTCAGAAAGACCCAGGCCAACCTGGAACATGACATCTTCTGCAAGAAGCTGGAAGAAGAATGAATTTGTCCCAGAACTCTACTGAATCTGATTAAAGCAGCTGGCCAGTGGTAAGGTCTGGGGAGAAATGCTGCAAGATCTTTCCAAACTCAGCTGCAATCGGTAGAGTGTCTCTCAAGGACTGAGAGTCTCTCAATTTTAAATCTTTAGATAAAATGACTTTAAAAATACTAATTATGCAAGAAAGTCTAACCATGAACCAAGCATTAGTGAATCCAGAGTTCCTTCTGTCCTGGCATACTGCCAACAGGCACTGAACAGAGCTCTAAAATCAGCAAAGAGGTCACCTCTGAAACCACAACATTTCTCCCCATAGCTCTGGTCTCCTGACTGGCCCTCCAGAACCAGAATTTCATTCTCAGTTAGAATTCCACAAACAAGACTGCACTTAAAGGAATACTGCCTGGACCTGTTCCTGGACCACCAGGAAGAGGTGGAGAAGGCCAAAAGCTCTGGGGTGATAGACCCACAAAGAGCCAGTCCTGTGGAGCAGAAAGGAAAGTAGGGAAGAAGTGGCACAAACAAAACTAATGAAGGAGACCCTACTTCCAAATCCAAGAGAAGATCAGTTTCTGGCTTACTAATCATCCAGCTAAGAAAGTCCTCACTCAGCCAATGAGATATTGAAACAAGCCAAGAAAGCATCCTAAGCAGTGGGTTGTAGTCCTGGCTCTAGCTCATGTGGTATGCAACCTGGGTGGGTGCCCTCCCTCGTCCCCTCATCTAGACAGCAGGGGAAGATATCACTTGCTTCTGTTACTACTAATCCTGAAATGAAATTCTATTTCATGGTGTAGAATTATTCATCTTTATTCACATGGCCACATCACCCACTGTTGGGTTAAACACCAATCAGTAACTAGAAAAGTTTACAGTGAGATAAGAAGGTCTCTAAAAGAATATGGTAATGAGGCAAATGGAGAAGCAGAGATAGCCACTCCCCTTATCTTCAGTCCCTGGGAGAGGATCTTCAGAGAGTGACCTTCATTGTAAAGTAAAGGAATGTACTCAGAGAACATCTAAAGAAAGTTACTAACATATAGGTTCTGCTTACCTATTTCAGGTTTTGCAATGTTTTGTGCTACTCTTCCCAGAATTTTCAAGTCAAAAATTTATTCTTTAGAAATAAGATACTGTTTATATTTTTTGTTATTAAACACAATGTGAAAGTACCTAGTACATAGTCATTGTTTAACATTTGTTGAAGCTCAATCTATAGAATTCTATTTCTCTATGACATGAAATAGGAATTTTGCAAATAGTGGGTACCACTCACTTTTGGGACTATAAAATCACTTAAGTAAGGCAAGCTGACTTTGGTGGAATAGCCTCTATTTTTCGCCCACTTATATAACTCTGCATTGTCAAAGCGCACCAATAACTGGTGCTGTCATCTCTCATGCCCCCAAGAAAAAACTCCTTTGGGGCTCTTTCTACATTTATTTTCAATTGTCAGATCCCTAGAGGAAAAAATCAAATCACTGACGCTATTTCAAACTTCATGCTCAAGGCAGCCTCTAAGAGGATAATAGGGCAGCTCTGCTTTTGCTCTCTTTGAGGCAGGAAGACACCCCATGGCTGTGAAGGCAGACAGGACATGTGTGTGGAGTTCAAAAATATAGCAAGGAAACCCAAAACAACAGAAAGACAAGAGAAGCCGGAGGATAAAGCTGTTTGGAATTATGAATCATTCCAAGATAACTTATGTTATTATATAAGAAGTGAAATGAGCTTTCAGGCATTGCCATTGATTCATTGTTTCAGCCATTCATGCATTCATTCAGCAAACATTCACTGGGAACCCACTAAATGTCAGGTACTGTGCTAGGCAGGCAGGCAGCATAAGATAGATTTCAAGAAGCAGAACATCAGCCTGCAAATTCTCACTGTGTTCCTGTTATACTGGCCTTCCTTTGGGTCTCTTTGTGCAAGGTTCTTTCATGCTGACTCTATTTAAATGTTTCTTCCACCAGTTCTTGCACCCCCACTTGACCCAGGACTAGATTAGGCTTACCTAATATGTATCCCCTCTGAAGTCCACCTCCTTTCCTCTCCCTCCCTTTTTCTTCCCCCCAGCCCACCCATTAGAGACTGAAACAGTGGTAGTGCCCTACCAGTGCCCATTTATTTTTAATTTTGAATCAAGGTCTCACTAAATTACCCAGGTTGGGCTCAAACTTGTGACCCTCCTGCCTCAGTCTCCCAAGTAACAGGATAATAGGTGTGCATCACAAGGTCTGGCCCATCACTTCTCCTTTTTAACACAGCACGCTCATCATTATTTTGTCTTCTCTAATAGATAGTAAGATCCATTTGGATAGGGACTGCCTCTCCAACGACTAGCATAATTAGAATATTTTAGGGTTCAATAAATATTCTGAAAAAGAATAAACTGGGGTATATGGGGCAAAGTATAGGCCCTGAGTAGTATAGTGAAGTAAGTGTGGGTTTTAGAGTTCAACAAATTCAAATATGAACCTTACCTAGCTCCACCATTCATTAGCTATATCATCTTAAGCAAGTCCCATGATCTCCCTGAACTTCAGTTTCCTCATCTGTAAAACAGATAATACTTCCTAGAGATGCAATGAAGATTAAATAGTATGATGAAGGTAAGGTGATGGGTACAGAGTATAAGCTCAACAAATGTTACCCAGAAGCCCCCACCACATCTCCCAGATCTTCCTTCCATAGTTAAGAAAGAGTTGATAACAGTAAGATAGGTCCCCAATCCTTCAGGAACATATTAAGACAGAATTCAGACATAAGTTAACAACACAGGAACTTGGACAGGATATGACAGGAACAATAGCCTAGATGGGATCTTATTAACCAGACAGGCTGAGACCTTGAGCTCTCTCAATCTGCCTGACCAAGGTACAGGGCCAAGACTGGATCTGCAGATGGAATCAAACAGCTGTAATCATGGGTGATAATGGCAGACTATGCCCACTCTTTATGCCAGAAAATAGCCTTTGAAGAATACAGACAAAAGCTTACAAAAATATCATCCCCAACTTTGCACGTCCAAAGGTCACTCAGAGGAATTTAAAGGTCTACAAATAGGCTAAGACCAATGAGGGGAAAGGTAGCACAGTGCTATGGGAGCAGAACTGAACCCAGAACCACAGAGCAGAGCTCAAATCCAAACATCTTCCTACTAGACACGTGATTTGGGGCAGGTCCTTTCCTTATCTAGGTCTCATTTCATCACTTGTACACCGAGGGGATCCAATGAGGATGATGTCTAAAGGCTCTTGAAGTGCTACAGATTTGAGATTTTAGATGCTGTCATCATGGCAAAGAAAGAACTCCTCAATCACACATAACACTGAGCTGATGTTCTGCTGTGCTGCCCTCAATCACACAAAAGGTAAATGGTCATAAGAAAGAGTTAATACAGTATTTCCTGAGACTGCTTAGCTCCTGATTCAGCACTGCACCTGTTCCTTCTGCATTTGCAGTTTACTACATAATATCATCACCGGGACTCCCTAAAACAGCTACTATTGGTCACTTGCTTAGTATTTCAGGTATCTGTCTTGTTTCCTTTCTTTTTTAAAAAAGATTAGCTAGAATATTATAAAGACTAATCAATAAAATTGCTATATAAAATTTGCCCAGAAAACCACTTTCTCCTTTCTTTGTATCCACTGTTGTAAGAGCAATGCCTTTAATGGACTAATCAGCACTAAAAATCAGATTATTACCAGAAGGGACATGGGGGGCAAAAATATTCTATTACTTCACAAACAAGTAAGGTCACACAGGGTAATGTAACTCATTCATAACCCAGAGCCTTTTTCTTATGGAAACCCTATAAACGATACTCAATAGTCCAGGCATACAATACTAACTACCCCTACCTAAATACATACCAGTGTTCACTAGCTATCCTTTAATAGATTCTAGCCATTTCTTAAGGCTGAAAAAACAGAATAACAAAACACAATCACTACCCTTAAACAAAGTCTGACCCTAAAAGTCAAGTAGTCCCAGCTGTAAAATAAAAAGTGGCGGCCTGGAATCCAGTCCATATGCCAGAAAATGTCCTCTGCATAAGCCTAGACCGAAGAATGGACTACAAAACACCATATAATACTCCACACTGCCGAAGGCCACATAACTCTGGGGCTGTGGTTCTTAAAGTGTGGTCTAGACCATCAGTACCAACACAACCTGAAAACTTGTTAAAATTCAAATTCAAGTGCTCACTTTGGCAGAACATATACTAAAATTGGAATGATACAGACAAGATTAGCATGGCTCCTGCACAAAGATGACATGCAAATTCGTGAAGTGTTCCATACTTTTTAAAAAAATCAAATTCAAATTCACCCTGGACCCTAGTCAGAAACTAGGAGTAAGGCCCAGAAATCTGTATTTTAAACAAGGCCTCCAAATGATTCCAATGAATGCTTAAGCGTGAGAATCACTGCCTTAGAATGTCCAAACTGCTGCATGTTTGCAGTAAAATTAGTAGAAAACTAAGTTCTCTATTAAATCTATTAACAATACTGGGTAAAGAGTTGGGTTTAAAACGTATCTTAAATGTTGGTATTTTGGAAAAAAACATGTTTACCAGAAATGGAAGGGAGAGAGGAATGCTGGTTCTGATGCAGCAAGGGATGTCTACACTTGTTCAGAAGCCTCTGAGGTGGAAGGCCCCAGGCCTTTCCCTGTGTGTCACTTCACTTCTAAATATAAGTCTTTTCTGTTCCTTCAGCTGAGCCCATCACTTCAGAGGGTGTCCCTACACATTTACTAGCAGTGATCTCAGACAGCAACAATAATTAAGGTCACTTTTTAATTTTCTTTCTTTTAGAAGGATGAAAAGCAAAAAGAAAAGGAACAGTAAATGTTCCTGAGGTCACTAAATTTAAAGATGAAGGAAGAACTGGGCACAGTGGCACACACCCGTAAAATCAGTGTCTTGGGAAGCTGAAGCCGGAGAATTGCAAGTTCAAAGCCTCAGAAACTTAGCAAGGCCTTAAGCAACTTAGCAAGACCCTGTCTCAATATAATAATTTTTAAAAGGGCTAGGGATGTGGCTCCGTGGTTAAGTGCCCCTGGGGTTCAATCCCTGGTGCATAAATAAATAAATAACTGAATAAATAAATAAATAAATAATGAAAATAAATAAGAAGGGAGAATCAACAGGAAGGTAAAGAAATAAATCTGTAGATAGAGATGAGAAAGAGATTGCTTAAAGTAGGATTTACTGAGCTCTGAATTACAAAAGAAAACTGGAGGATCAGCCTTAGAAGAAAAGTAACAAAGAAATAGTGAGACCTTTTTTGGCCTCTACCACCAGGTGGCAAAATCAACCACACACAGCTAAGTTGCTGCCAGAAGCCACTGTTTATGTGTCTTTTCTTGTTTTGCTATTGCTTTGAGGTAGGAGTGGAGATGCAAAGCAACTTCAAGTTAGGTGCTGACGGCAGAGACAACGCAATGAGCAATGGATTGTTTTAAACGTATTCAGTCAGTGACCATAATTATGGAATATCATTACATTTTTAAATATATGAACTACCATGTAATACAAGTAACCACAATGACAAAGGCTATCCTGAATTACACATTAATCTTTTATTACAACTAAGTTTTAAAATAAATCATTTGATTTTGAAATATCTATTTTTCTTCAATGAAAGTCAATGTCAAGTTAGGTCTAATTTTATGGTTCAAATGCAATTTTCCTCCAGCACACTACAAAATGTTAAATACCAAGGAAGACAATAATAAAAAAAAGTCAGCTGTAATGTAACAGTAAATTTCCTATAGAAATGATTTTGAGGTTCTACAGGTCACAAAGAAGAGATACACATGGTTAATCATAAATCCATCTAAAGATAGTTCATTTCTATCATCTTTCATTTTTAATGGGGGCTTAAGCAACTTTCTGGGATGGAATGTTGTAAATTTAATAATATTTCAATTCACTACTAGTTTCCATTGATTTTTCTTTCATTTTAATCTGTTTTGATAGATTAATGTTGTCTTGTGACTTCCAAATGGCAGGTTGAGGAAGAAAAATGATATGCATTGAGTTGTACTTCTACTAGAAAGAGTACTAACCTGGGAATCAAGACCTGTGTCCAAGGCTTGGTCATTCACTACTGCTTATCATTCCTAAGAAAGTCACTACATCTCTCTGGGACTCAGGTTCCTCCTATTTAAAATGAAACAACAATATTTGCCATAATTCACTAATTGTTGTGATAAGCAGATAAGAAAACAAGGAATACTTACTACTAGATAGTACCTAAATTCAAAACAACCAAATAAACCCATTACTAAAGAAAAAATTCCAGTCAGCCCTCCATATCTACAGGTTCTGCATATGAGGATTCAACCAACCGTGGATCAAAAATATTTAGGGAAAAAAATGCATCTGTACTGAACATATAAAGACTTTTTTCTTGTCATTATTCCCTAAACAATATAGTACGACAACTATTTACACTGTATTAAGAATTACAAGTAATGTAGAAATTATTTAAAGTATATAGGAACTGGGCTTAGTGGCACATAATCCCAATGACTCAGGAGGCGAGGCTGAGGCGAAGATTGCAAACTTAAGACTAGAATCATTAATTTAGGGAGTCCCTGTTGCAAAATTAAAACTAAAAGGGGCAGGGAATGTGGTCCAGTGATTAAGTGCCCCTGGGATCAATCTCCATTATATGTATAGATTATATGCAAATACTATACCATTTTATATAAGGGACTTGCATATGTAAATTTTTATATCCATGGAGGATTCTGGAGCCAGTCCCCCATGGATACCAAGGGACAACTGTATTTTTAAAAGCTTTTTAAATTAGGCAAAGAAAATATGCTTCTTTAAGGATTACAAATATCAAAGTGGGCACTCAAGAAAATTAGAAACCAGACCTCAGTGTTGTTGGATCCTTAAATTTTGGATAATTGAAATAAGTTTCTTTGGATAAATTGAGTTTGAATAATTTCAAATGTTGCTACAGTTACCATAGCACCAGACAGGACCAATCAGTTGGGGCAATCAATAATAACCATCAACAAGTGTCTCTGCATTTTCTAGCATAACAGCCTCAAGAAAGCTTCTACTCAAAGTGGTACCTCTATGCTTTTACTTCTCTGAAAAAGAAAGTGCCAAAATGCTTAATAAATTAACAGGACCAAGTGAGTTTTCAGAATAAACTGAGTAATAAAAAAAATACAAAGATTTTGGGTATTTTAAGTATTAATATCCTTAAACAAAAGGTATTGTCTAGGTACATTTACCACTGCTATTATCCAGGAAGGGATACCAGACAAATGAACCTATTGACAATTTAATCTGAATGTTTCTTTAGCTGCTATATTAATAAAAGGTAATATAATACATTGTAAATATGCATTCAATAAAACAAGAGCTTTCAATCTCTTGATTATTATTGGATACCCAAATTCAAACAAGCCAAACCATCCCTCAAACAATTCAGAGCATGGAGCTATGCAAATATTAACTTAGCTTGCCTCCCAGCTGGCAACCCAGACAGAGTTCAATCTGGTTACACATTCAGAAGAAAAGAACTGCCTATGTCATTTAATTCACTGTCCTATTGAACTCCTTTATCTAACAACTGTCCTCCACCTAAGACCTACTGCTTAGATATTAGTTCTAATATTAACTTTAACTTATATGTGATAGGATTAGTGATGGGGTGATGACTAGGAGAATCTTTATGTGAAACTTCATAAAGATCCCTTCATCCTCTGGCAATTCCAAAACAAAAAGATCTTTACATGCCTATATGACATTTATGCCTATAGGAAAAAAAAAAACTATAGACAAAAGTGTATTGATGGACCTTAACCCAAATGCATTCCTAATAAAAATACATTATCAAAAAGTTTATCCTAGACAGATGCAGTGGCTCACTCCTGTAATCCCAGTGGTTCAGGAGGCTGATGCAAGAGGATTGCCTAGTTCAAAGCCAGCCTCAGCCACTTGGCAAGGCCCTAAGCAACTTAGTGATACGCTGTCTCAAAGAAAAACACAAAACAGACTGGGAATGTGACCCAGTGGTTAAGCAACCCTGGGATCAATCTCCGATACCAAAAAAAAAGAAAGAAAAAAATTATCCCCTCCCTTTTTTTTAAGAGAGAGAGAGAGAGAGAGAGAGAGAGAGAGTTTTTTAATATTTATTTTTTTTGTTTTCGGCAGACACAACATCTTTGTTTGTATGTGGTGCTGAGGATCGAACCCGGGCTGCACGCATGCCAGGGGAGCGCGCTGCCACTTGAGACACAACCCCAGCCCCAATCTCTTTTTTTTTTAGATTATCTGAAAAAAGAAAACTTCATCTACCATCTGCCACCTAACACACACATCTTCTTTTTCATTAGTCAACATTTCCTTCAAATCCATATCTGAGCACAAACAGAATTTTACTCAAAGACATGATCTATACCTAATATTTATTTATTTTTATTCATTTTTAATAAGTTATTATTGTGGTGCTAGGGATCAAACCCTGGACCTTGTACATGTTATGCATGAGCTCTACCACTGAACTACACCCTGAAACCCCACACTTAATTTAGAAAAAGCTTTCTGAAACTAACTTAAGTCCTATAGATCCCTAATGTTCCTTGGATGTGCCTCAGAAGCTACCACAAAGAAAGGACTTTCCAGCAAGCAGTAGTGGGAGTTCATTCTCCTTCCCTCAACTTTTCTATCCCCACTCCTGATTCAGTCAGAACAGTTACATTTTTATCTGTTTTGAATTTTGAGGTCCTGTGTAAAAAAACTTTATTTGAAAGTTAAACAAAAAAAATGGTTCTATGCTTCTAGGTATTTAAAAACTAAGAATGTTCAGAATCATGGAATTTTAGAGCTAGAAAGAAACTTAGAGCCAATATTTTTATTGTATGGATGTTGAGTAAGCTTAGACTTACTCAAGCTTTTATAGGTAATTAGGAACTACATTTAGACCTTAGGTCTTCATCCCTAACACAAAAGCCCTATTCCTAATTCAGGAAGTATTTATTTATTCATTCATTCATTCATCCATTCATTTAATATATATCAAATTCTACTATGTGCCAGGTACCACTTTGAGCACTGAGGTTTTTAAAATCTTGCCATAATAGTGCTTACAGTTTAGTAGAAGAAGACAGACAATAAATACAATAAATGAGTAAACAGTATATAAGAAGGTAATGAAATAAAGGATGGTGGTACAGGCATGAGGGTGAGAACATTACAGATTATAATTGGTGAATTTCCACAAAAATCACTGCTGTTAAGTCTTTATGTACCTTGTAGCAATATGTATGTGCTG